ACACATACGATTTTTTAATTAGAAAAATATCTAATTTTTTTTAGTTTTTTTGTTATTTTACTATTTAAAAAAAATTCTAAAACTTGTTTTTACTGCCTAAAAAGTTATTAAAAAAAAAAAAAGTTAGGTATATATGGAAACGCATTTAAATTTTATGAGTACTATGACATTTAAAACATGTTATGAGTGAAAAGCAATATGAACTTAAGACACAAAAACAAATTCATTTAATTGGTTAATATATTTTTATTTAACTTATAACTTAGTATGTTGTAAAAGACCGAAACTTCAAATGAAATGAATTTATAATTCATTTAATTGGTTCATAAAAGACAAACGATAATTAAAAAAAAAAACGAATAAATAAGTATCATGTGACAACCTTCACTACCACTTGAAGGGAGTTCGTGAGGTGGACCACTCACAACCCTCTTACTAATCGGAATCTAGATTTTGGTCTTCTTGATCTGAAATGCTTAATGAAATAGTGAGTTACACTAACTCAGTAAAAATATCACACTAATCACTGATACGGAAAATCGAATGTTGGTAAAAATTAGAAAATAACTAATTGAGCATTTGCTTTAAATAAATACATTTAACTTTAAAACTTTTTATTCGATACTTACCGTTACAGTTTTTCCAAAATCAACCCATGAAAATAATTAACCAAATGACATTTCAATTTCATGCATAAAATCAGCAATCCTTTTTTTTTTAACCTATTTACTGGGACCCCTGATGGTCCATAGGGATATCTCTCTACTTGTGGACCCAGTATCAAGATTGATAATTAACCCGACCATTCCCATACGTCGTCCAGTAATGGGCACTAAAAACACCATCGTCTCGATACCCTGTCCGGTATGAGGGTGAACCGTATCTTCAAAAATTCTTTCGGTATGGGACTTCTCAGCCTCGTCCGACTGAGATAATGTCCACAGTAGGGTTCTCTATGTACCGAGTCCGTCCACCATTTCCTAGGATACTCAGTAAACTTTCATTTATTTATACTCTTATCATCTAAGCAACCACTAAAATATACCAATATCTCATTTCATATTCATAGTTTGATTCAAATGGCACTTAAACAAACGATATAGTTTAGCATAACCAATAACCAATAACCAGAATACCGAATAAATAATGCAGAAAGAACAAAATAACCAAATAATCGAGAAGACCATAAAAACTATCAATTCAATTACGCACAGTATAATAGTAAACAAATATAGACAGTAAAGGAAAATAAATAGGGAATCATGATAAATATGAACTAACTGGTTCCGGTTCCACTAGTGATATGTATTATTTTTAGGATTTTTTTAATTTTTTTACAAAACACACAATTATCAATTATTGATCATCAATTTACCGTAATCAAGAATAGGATGAGAAATTCTTACTCATATCAGTATTTTGAGATGCTGCACTGTCTCCTAACGGGTTACGAATTTTCTGAATTTTTCTGCAAGAATCCAAAATACTCGTCACGCATATAAAAATACTCTAAAAATTCTAAATCGGTGTCAAAAATCCTTATCAACCAATTTTAGGATTTCGGCACGGCGCCGCCGCCATATTCTGGCGCCGGCTCTGCCACCTGTAGCGGCAGTTCGCCTCAGTCTGACCGGTTCTAGTCGATTTTGGTCAATTATGGTCGATTTTATACGTATTTCTGTAGAAAAATACGTTATGGGATCTCGGTTGGCCAGAAAATCACAAAAAACTAAATTTATAGGCGGGGGTCTCCATGTGCGGCGGCTCCACCGGTTCTCTTTTTCGGTTAACCTACACATAAAAGGATGGTGAACACAATAGTCGAAAAATTTTGTGAAAAGGGAAGCGGGAAGGAGTTCATCGGATGAGTTTTAGGGTTTCGGCCGTGGTGGCTCCGTCGGGCTTTACCCGCAGTTTTCAGCTCACTTGCCGTCCCTTTTACTTCGATATGGCTATGGAGAGACTCAAATTGAATTCCAAGCAAGTATGAGAGAATTTTTCCTTTTTTGGCAGTCAGTGGTGGCTCCAATGTCGCGGCGGTCGGGGGTCGGTCTCTTCTTCGGTGGCTGATCCTTCTTCTCCCGGCGAGGGCAGGACGACTAGAGTTAGGGTTTACCTGCGATGCAATATTTATATACTTATTTTGCATCGATCTAGACCATCCATTTGTGTCGACATAGAGTGATGTGAATCGTCCGATCGGTGTCTATTTAGGCTCATTGTGTGGGCGAATCTGGATCTTTCTTCGCGATTGATCTCGTCCATCTGATCACACCTAAGGAGAAAATGCATCTGAGGCGTTCACGCGCGCAAGATTAAATATGGATCGTCGGATCACTAGGTACGCGGATTGTCCGCGTGGTCTCCCGTACGGCGTTTATGTCAGCGTGTTTTGCCACGCAGTGTGCTCTAATTCGTTGGGCTGCTGACTGGGCTGTCTAACATGGCTGATTTTTTTTATATATTTTGACCCTATGTTTCTAATTATTCTTTCAAAAATACTTTTCAAACTCAAATTTTTATCATTTTTCTTTAAAATTACTTTCAATTATGTTCCTAACCTATTTTTCTCAAATAATTTAATAAAATTAAATTAAAATAATATTTTTTATAAGCCCAGGTATTACATGTTTATTATATATATATATTTGTAAACTGAAAAAGCATCAAATAACTATAAATAACACAAAAATAGATTTTTGATGACTTTTTAATGAGGATATTTTTATCGAAATAAAAAGTGTTTATTATTATTTATTACTGTTATTGTTGTTGTTGTTGTTGATCTACAAATTATCAATACATTTCCCCAGAATTCATGCAACCCCCAAATAAATAGTAAAATTTCAACCTTTAGTTTTAAGTATTCTATCTCCGATCAACATAATTTTTTCTCTCTAGATTTGCTCCTTCCCCTTTCTTTAACCTCAAGTTTCAAGCTTTTTGGGAATTGATTTAACCCATCAAATTAAGCAAGTAAGAAACATAAAGAAATGGCGGCATTGAAACAGACTCAAATGTAAAATTGAGTTTGGTTGAAATTTCATTCTATATAATAAGAATGAGAATATAATCATACAAATTAAGTATAATAAAATAAAATTAAATGAGTATTTTTGTGAGTTCTTTGTATGAAATTGAAGATATAAAAATAGTTCATTCCATTATACATGAAATATATAAATTATGATTAATTTGTAATTTATACATATTAAAAATTACTAAAATATATTAACTAAACCAAAATAGAATTTGTTTGAATCAAAGGCAATATACTTTTAGTTATTTCATTTTTCTCTTCCGTGGTTGTTTGTAATATTATAGTTTTAAATATGGTGGTCTTTGTTTAAATTTATACATACATATATATTTGTACCACAGCAAAGATAGTAAAGGAAAGTAATTGCTACTATAGCTTGTAATTTGAGCAACTTGAAAAGTCAAAAGCAAAGTTATGTAAGAATACAAACACCGAGTATCACCCTCTTTTGAATAAAAAACTATTAGATATACAACTTTTAAGTCCCATGAAATGTTTATTTTCTCTTATACCAACAATAATATAGTTTGCATATGTGTATTTAGTTTTTTTTCTTGGTTGTATATATTTATGAAACTGGAAGAGTTTTTACAAGTAACCCCTTATTTAGTTTTCCAAATAGAATATTAGACGGCTTTGAATGACTGACTTTGTCCAACTTATAGAAAGGGAAAGAAACTTTCCTTGTAAATTATAAAGTACCCATTTGTGTGTGTCTGTGTATATATGTACATATATATGTATATATATGACCATTACTTAATCCTGTTCTAACTCTACGTCCCAAATCTGACACGTGGAAGGTTCTGACTTTGTTGTCTCTCTTTCGTTTTCACCAAGCAAACAAGTCACTGCAACTTAATAGGTATAACACGTTGCAGAATATTATGCATCATATATATATTATTTAGCTAGTTTAATGACTGTTAAGTATATGAAAATCAAGCCATTCACATTGAAAATCTCATGAATTGAGGTAAAAATATCTACATATATATATTTATATAGTTTGTTTGACCTAGAAACTACATTATAATATATACATGTATAGTATTAGAAGATGACTCTTTTTTTAAGTATAAATTCATAAATTTACTAATAATTATGTGGCAGTTGTCTAATAATAGTATGATTAATTTCTTAATAAAAAACAACACGATTAAATTTCTAACAAATATACATACAACATATACTTATAAAGTGGTAAAAAATGTAAATTCAAGTAAAATAATTGGTATAAAGCAATTAATTACTGGTAGTTGATGATGACTAGTGCTAGAATTAAGAGTAAATGATGTAGTTAGGAGTTGTAATCCAACCAACTAGCTGCTGTATAAATTTAGGTTTAAGATGAGTGTTGAGTTGCACCAGATCAATTTGGCTCTCACCAAAATTAATACTAGCTTTCTATTATCATTACAAGGTATATACCTATATTAACCAGTTTCGTCTTCTTCTTCTTCTTCCTCTTCTTCTTCTTCTTCTTCTTCTTCTTCTTCTTCTACATTATGAAATGATATCATCTCCTCGTAAATGGTCTGATTTCTTGTTATAATTAAGATGATTTTCATTTTCATATACCCACGTCTGATCTCTTATATCATATTTGCATGGCACCAGCTATGTGTTTTGCTGCTACAAGCGCGTACATGCGCAGCCATTCATTTTCTTTCTCTCTTTTCCTCAAGAACTTCAGTATGTATGTATATATGTATACATATATGGTTGAAATAAAGAAGCATATCACCGGTAAATTTACAGGGGATTGATATTATCTTTTCCGACTTGCTTACTTGAATTAATTGATTAATTTGCTTGAGTTTCTCTGATGTCATCTCTCGAAAGACGATAATAGCTAGATATCCGTATATAAACGTGCAGAATATTCCTCTTTAAGATAGTAATGTAGAAGATGCCAAATGTCTCTGTTACTTAGCTGTTGGTTTGAGCTGATGTCTCCGTGAAAGTAAAACTTATCATCTTCTTCCTAATCATGTTCTTGTCGTAAGCACGTGAAACCCATATATATATATATATATATGTATATATATGATACACAGACGAGATTGGTGATGTGATTATATATCGAAATTAATGGGTGCAGGAGGAATTCAATTAGCTATTTCAGGATGTGGAAGCTGAAAATAGCAGAAGATGGGCCATGGCTGACGAGTCTGAACAACCATATCGGAAGACAACACTGGGAGTTCGATCCCGACGCCGGAACTCCGGAAGAACGTGCTCAGATAGAAAAATTCCGGCAGGACTTTAAGAAGAAGAGGTTTCGTAACAAACAAAGTGCTGATCTCCTCATGAGAAAGCAGGTTTTCTTCTTTTTTTTTTTTTTTTTTTAATTTTACACTTAGAAAAAATAACAATAATTATGTTTTTACTTTTTTACAAGTAAAAAAAAAATTGCTAAATAATAGTAATTATTAATTATGGAAAAGATTATAGTCAATGCTTGAAAACTGGAGCTGGTTCCATGGACTAATTCATTTAGTGACAAAATCAAATCAAGATTAGAAAATAATGGTATTTGGAGGATTAAGCATTTATTTGATTGATAGTTTCATTATTTTAATTATGAATTGTTAATCAGCCAATTTGAATGTAATAAAACGTGTCACGACGCTATTAGTCCATTAATTAGTGCTTACCACGTCGCTATTAGGCGTATCAACGCTTCTGATATTACAACGGTAACATTATTATCTCTCTCCATTGGGTCAGGAAAAAAAAAAAAAATTAGTTTTTAAATTTAAAATTAAATTAAATTTTATCAATATCTGTTGCAGTGTTAATTTTAGTTAATATTTTATTCAATATAAAATTTAAATTTTATTATATAAACATTTAGTAAAAGATAGAAAAATACCCAATATATATATATATATATGCGGATACAATATTCTACTAATAACAAATAAATTTCTCATAAAATTATCTCTTTTTCTTCAGATCTGGTTTAAAAAATTGGATTTTAATTTTCTTCACAAAAACCCTCAAGGAGAAATTGTACTAGTTTGAAAAGCTTATGATTTTTCTATATTATAGTATAACTCTTGACCATTACATATCTATATATACTTTTTTTTTTTTTAATTAAAAAAAAAATGTAGTATACTATCCTATATATATATATGTATAAAAAAAAAAGAATAAACAGACATTTATTTATTATTATTATACAAAAAGGTTTATTCTAAATTTAAAATGATTAATATATAACTATATTATGTTATATTTTATATTTACTCATAATCATAAAATTGAATGTGTAGCTGAGAAACGAGAATCCAACTGGACCAATCCCAGCAGCCGTGAAGGTTAAGGAGACAGAAGAAATAACAGAGGAAGCACTGACAACCACTTTGAGAAGGGGTATCAGCTTCTATTCTTCCATTCAAGCTCATGATGGTCACTGGCCCTCCGAATCTGCTGGCCCATTGTTCTTCCTTCCTCCTTTGGTACCCCTCTCCCTCCCTCTCAACTCTCATTTTCATTATTACACCATTACCTTTGATTCACTATTTAATATATGAATATACGTATGATTCACTGCATAAGATATAAATAAGTCAAAAACAATCTTTGGTTTACACTAAAAACCTCAAGTTAATACAGGTCATGGCATTGTACATCACCGGTTCATTAGATGAAGTCCTATCCCCCGAGCACAAAAAAGAAATTATTCGTTACTTATATAATCATCAGGTATGCTCAAATTTAATTAAACCTAAAGCATGGTAACTTCAAGCTTTAATATTAATCTTATAACAGAATGAAGATGGAGGATGGGGGTTCCACGTAGAAGGGCACAGCACCATGTTTGGTTCGGCAGTTAGCTACATTGCGCTGAGGTTGCTCGGAGAGGGGCCTGACGCCGGAGAGGACAATGTTGTGGCAAGAGGAAGACAATGGATTCTTGACCATGGCGGTCTTGTGGCCATTCCCTCCTGGGGCAAGTTCTGGGTCACGGTATTTCCCTCCTACCTAGCTTGAACCGGACTGGACTTCAGCTAAATTTTCGCGTTATATCTGTGATATCATTATATTGTTTTTCTGCTTGAATTTTAGGTACTTGGATTATATGAATGGGATGGTTGCAATCCTTTGCCTCCGGAGTTTTGGCTTCTTCCTGAATTCTTCCCAGTCCATCCAAGTACATATAATTTTCTTTTCTCAACCAAATTCGTCACTACTTCAAATTTGATCCTGTATTAAAAGGTTTGGAACTAATGCAGGCAAAATGTTGTGCTATTGCCGTCTGGTTTACATGCCCATGTCTTATCTGTATGGAAAAAGATTTGTGGGTACAATCACAGACTTAATTAAATCAATGAGGAAAGAGCTCTACACTCAACCTTACCATACAATCAACTGGAACAAAGCTCGAAACACTGTTGCAAAGGTAACTCCCCACATCATCAACTTCACATTCAAATCCCCTGATAACCAACTTTCCTTTTGATGTATATTCAAATTTGCAGGAGGATCTCTATTATCCTCATCCTCTCATACAAGATATGACCTGGGGATTCCTTCACCATGTTGCCGAGCCATTTTTTGACCCGCTGGCCTTTTAATAAGTTGAGAGAGAAAGGCTCTGAAAGTAGCCATTCAACACGTGCATTACGAAGATGAGAATAGCCAATACCTTTGCATTGGATGTGTTGAGAAGGTGAATTAAATTGTAGAAAGTAAAAAACAAAAACCAAAGAGATGGAAGTAAAACATTTTGTGGGAATAAAACTGTTTAATTGATCCGCAGGTCTTATGTTTAATTGCTTGTTGGGTGGAAGATCCTAACTCAGAAGCATATAAACGACATTTAGCAAGAATCCCAGACTACTACTGGGTTGCAGAAGATGGGTTGAAAATGCAGGTTTGTCTCTTTGCAGTAGCAAAAACCTAAAACAGATTATGGAAAGGGAAAGTCATGCTTCATCCTTTGCAATGCAGACTTTTGGTTGTCAAACATGGGATGCTGTTTTTGCTATTCAAGCAATCATGTCAAGCAATCTGTGTGATGAGTATGCAACAACGCTGCGTAAAGCACATGATTTCATAAAAGCTTCACAGGTAATCTCTTACCTCTCTAACATCAACACATTTCTTTGAAAGGATCTAGTCCTGAAATCGTGTTTGTTTTAACAGGTTCGTGAAAACCCATCTGGCAACTTCACTGCAATGTACAGACATATATCAAAAGGAGCATGGACCTTCTGTATGCAAGACCATGGATGGCAAGTCTCTGACTGCACTGCAGAAGGCCTTAAGGTAGCCCTCTTATACTCCCAAATGTCACCAGACCTTATTGGAGAGAAGATAGAAACTGAGCGCCTTTATGATGCTGTCAATGTCCTCCTCTCCTTACAAGTAAGACTTCAAAAATTGCCAGCCACTTTACCAAGCTAACTAGACTAAAGTGCACTCTCTACGTCTTTTACTAGTCTAGCTAACATCTGAATAATTGGATACAGAGTAACAATGGTGGTTTTCCTGCATGGGAATCCCAAAGAGCATACCGCTGGATGGAGGTAAATAACCTGTACCCCCCAAAACTAATTATCACCTTACCTTTCCTTTCTCATGATCCAATCTGCTACTACTGTAATATACACAACTCTACAGGCACATAACAAGTTTCTTTTCTTGTTCTTGGTCTTGCAGAAATTTAATCCTACAGAGTTTTTTGAAGATACCCTGATTGAGACAGAGTAAGATTTCAAAATAACAACAGTTTTTCTTTTTTCTTTTTGGCCTTTGGACTTTACTATATATTGGTTCCTAACAAGTAGAGACATATATGTAAATAATAACAATATTAATAATAATATAAACTTGTTTAGGTATGTGGAGTGCACTTCCTCAGCAATCCAAGGTCTGACACTATTCAGGAAATTACATCCAAAACACAGGAGGACAGAAATAGACACCTGCATCTATAAAGCAGTTAATTACATTGAAGAAACACAAAATCCAGATGGCTCATGGTATGAAACCACTCAAGTGTTTTCAAGCATGAAGCAAGCAATAAAACAGAATAAATTAGAAGTAATGAATTTATTAATGAATCAAAACAGGTACGGTTGCTGGGGAATTTGCTACACTTATGGTACATGGTTTGCAGTAGAGGCATTGGCATCCTGTGGAAGAAACTACCACAACAGTCCCACTCTGCGTAAAGCCTGTGAATTTCTACTATCAAAGCAGCTACCTAATGGTGGATGGGGGGAAAGCTATCTTTCTAGCCAAAACAAGGTTTTGCTTATATATCAATTTTTGTAATGTATAGAAGAATGAAACAAAGAAAAGAAATTTGAACCACTAACATCTCTTTAATTAAAGCAGGTATACACAAATCTGGAAGGCAACCGTGCAAACCTGGTACACACAGCATGGGCTTTGCTATCTCTTATTGATGCTGGCCAGGTATATAGCACAATATACAAATCACCACGAAAACTTCGGTTTCAATTTATGTAGATCAAATATACGAATATAACATAGAAACACATATATGAGTTTTAGCAACAAAGAGAATGAAGAAGAAAAAGAAAATTACTGGGAAAATCTGAATAATGAATGTTTGAATTGAAAACAGGCGACTGTAGATCCTACACCAATACATAGAGGAATAAGAGTGCTAATCAACACACAAATGGAAGATGGTGATTTCCCTCAAGAGGTAGTTTATCTCAATTCTCTTCTGAATTTTTTTCCCATTGAGCAACTAGTTTATCTCACTCTCATTCCTATAAACTCAACACAAATTATTTACTATAATTAATGTAGTGGATAGTAAAATTGTTATCTGATAATAAACTCTTACATCACAGGAAATAACTGGAGTTTTTATGAGGAATTGTACCCTAAACTACTCATCATACCGCAACATATTCCCACTATGGGCTCTGGGTGAATACCGCCGCCGTGTTTTATTTGCATAAAATCTCTTAATAATAAAGATATAGAAAGAAGAAACAAGAAAGGAAAAGCAATGCGGAAGAATAGTGAATATGAGAATCAAGGTAAACTTGAGATGTATCTATACATTATATACGTATATATATATAACAAGCTGCAACATCTAAAAATGTGTCAAGTAAACTAGGTCTCTACTTTCCCCTTGATGTTATATCAAATATGTTATCCTACAGTGTGTCATGCATTATTAGTAAATGAAAGAACAGTAACATAAATAAAAGCTCTCCCCGTAAGTGCAAGCTTCTTCTCAGACATGTCTATGTGTAAATAAATCACTACACACTTCACATTTTTTTCCATTGAAGTAACTATTAAATGTTAATACTAACTATATTAAAAAATTTATCATTACTAACACTAAACACAGGATGTGACCTTACTTGCCTCAATTTAATTTTTAACTTTTTTTTTTTAAAAAAAAAAAAGGAGCAGCTAGAATGCTCAAGCATTAGTGAACTAACAACAAACTTTCTATGTTGAAGGTATGAGCCAACATTAAGTCTTATCTCAGAATGACACAACCCACTCACCAAAACAAAAGCTGAATGATATCTAAAAATTATCAGATTTAACCAAGCACCCTTACATTATAAAGGATAAATAACATTTCACTGCTACAGAATATCTGCTCCTACAAAGAGATTTTGCTACATTGTATCAAAGTAATTCTACAGATAAATTGGCATAGAATTGCCATCATTCCTTTCCAGTGAAAACTAGTTGGCAGCAAATGGGGGTGGCAACTAGCGAACCTGGCATCAAATTGTTCAGAACAGACTCAGCCAAGTTCAACTTGAGCTAATGAAAACCGAACTTGACCTTTTCTGAGCATATCATTTAGCCAAATGAATCCAATTCAAACTTGAAATTGTTTTGATCAAAACCTAGCAGATATTTTAGCCTAAACTAAATATATAAAATAAATTATAAGGAGATCCCTGAGTTTCGAAGCTAATTACAATCATATCCATTATTTTGAAAATGTATAATCCAACTCCGAAAACTACAATCTAATGCTGCTTCCAATGTTAACATATCCAATAAAGAACAAATCATTTTTTTTTTCGGGACACTCCTTTAAAATGATAAAACACACAAATTTTTAAAGGAAATGTAAAAATTTTAACTAAAATAAAGAAGAGAGTTTGATCAGTGAAACTTCTTCAAGAGTAACTTTTAAGCACTTTCTCCAATTTTGATTAAGATTCTTCAAATTTCAACCAGATTTCACGCATGTACCTCTTTTAGATGAGTTTTTTCTGTTCTCTTCAAGCAAAAAATACTGAATTATATTTTTAACATTTGTACAATTGTGAACTTAACTAAAAGTTGACAGAGACCAAGTTGTTATTTTTTCAAACTAAGACCTAGTTGTAAGTAGGCTCAAAACTCAACAACTTGCATATTTGACATTATGATATAATTATATAATTCATATATTGAGTATTATATGTTTTAATTATTTATTTTATTTATGAGTTCAAGCTTAATGAGACTATTTTTAATCAAATATTTTCAATCCAAATCTGAATTTCTTCTCTTTCTAAAAGAAAAAACTTGATTTCAAAAAATGTTTTATCCGGACTTCAAGCCAAACTCGAATTTAACACTATTTCAACTAATTAAATCCAATAACTCATGTTATTCAACTTGGGTCATATTATTTCCTAGTTGCAAAGAAACCAATACTCACATGACAGCCCTTATAAACCAACTTGAAGCCTGTCCAGGCTATTGCTAGAGGTGAAAATCTACCACAACAACATTTAGATATGAAATTGGACCCTTACTAACACAGACCTATATTTGATACAACTAAAAATGGACTTCTCAAAGCCAATCCCATGATCTTATAATTCCCAGGAAATCCCCAATATGAAGCTTTTGGACTACACAAAATTGGAAGAAAATGTTTTGTTCATTGAGAAAATGAGCAGCCTCCCCTTCAAGGATTAGCGAAAAGTTTGGCAAGACAAAAAAACGAAATTAAAAATAGGAACTTGAGAGTAGTAACAAATTACAACCATTTTTCAACAATGTTCAGCTAGAAACAATGTATAAGCTACAGCCAGGTGAAAAAAAAGAGGGAGTAGATAACTGATACGCTAGAATAATGCAAAAAAAAAACATAAAATAGAAGAGGGAACAGGGCCAAGTCCAAAGGGCCAGAACTACATTACAGACATGGACATTATCTGACGAGCAAGGCCTGGATCTTGCTGCAACAGCTCCCTCAAATTGCTCTCAACCTCTGCCATCTGTTTCTCTAAGTACTCCTTCGAGATCTAACAAAGGCATAGTAAATCAGTTAATTCCCAACCAACTTTCAGCAGAGAGAAGACTGTTTGCCAATTATAACATCGATCACCGTTTCAACCCTCACAAGTTATTTTGTTCGGCTTAACAAACTCAAGTCTAGTTGATAAGCACGCACATAGAAGGCCAAATTAGGACATGCATAAGGGGGGTAAGTTTGGATCAACAAAACCTATTTACAAAGGCGGTTAAGAATCCAGAACACTGATATTGTACTGCTTACAAGAAAGATAATCAGTTGACAAAACAGCAACTCTATTCAGCTATTTATCTATCCTGCAAAAATTTGTTTAAATTTCTGGACATACTCGGATTATGATTTACAGTTTTCTATTTTTATTGCCTAATTTTGCTTGATATGTACGACACCAGACGAAGCTTATTTTAATCCATGAACAAGGTTTTAAAATTTGATTAATGTCCATTAAGTTAAACGTTAAAAAGAAGCTACAGAGAAAAAACTTCAGTTATTCAAACTTATGCAACCTATTTTTGTTCTCTGACAAGGGAGTGCTGAAAAAAGTAAGCCCCAGCAAACCTTTGGTTAACATCCCATATATTCAGAGCATTCACAAAAACTTTTGCACACAAGATGCATGTATGACAGACATCCAAACCATGTTATGGGCCTCAATTAACCTCGCATAAGTCCCAAACACCAGAAGGTCCTCTATGATGAGACAGCATAAGAGGAAGTTCGTGAGAGAGGAAAAAAATATACCTGCAATGACGTAATTGCATTCTCAGAATCTTTGTGCTTCTGTTCTTGTTCATTCATTAAAGTTGACCTGGGCTCTAGGACAAACCTGGTCAACAACGTGAGAGAGAGACACGGGTATAAGAATCGATATACATATTCTTAGAGCCCATAAACCAACATCATGACAATTATTTGTGATATCCAGCACTTACGTTTTTCCTGCCAAAAAATAAGAGAAGCTTGTTAAATACGCAATTGGTTCATCAACATAAGGGAATATAACTAATATGCCATATGCCAAATGCCAATTAAAGTACATGATCGAAGAAATGTCAGAAAAGCTTACAACAGAACATCCCTTCCAAAGCCTGCTAATGCTTAACTATTACATGAGACATGACAACTGAGAACGTAGGCCAAGGGTTTAGTAGATTACCGATAGATTTATAGGTGTTTGTATCATCAGATAACTGTTTAAGCTCCTCCAAGGTTAAAAAAGCACGTTTTCTCTCCCCTTCTTTGTTTCTCATCTGGTTCTGCACCTGAAAATCATAGGATCACCCATTTCAGTTTAAAGTTCAAACAGCCTCAGATACAAGTCTTTGAACTTCTAAGAGGATCTTTGTTTTTGTTTGAAATACTAAGTGGGTTTTAGCTTTTCACTTTAGATCTTACAAGTTTTCCAACTACCTTGAAGCTGTATGAGCTTATCTAACACAGAAGCTCTAGAGTTGTTTGGTTAAGAATGTTTTTTAATTCAATAAAAACTTGAAAAAAGAAAAAGTAAAGGAAGCCTTTCAAACTTGAAATATTCAAGTTTAAAGGAAAGATTTTCTTTTATTTAATCAAAACCAATTTATTTCCCCACCAACTATGAAATTTGAAATATAAACTTCCTTTAGAGAAAAAGATGTCATAGAAACAAAGGCACAAAAACGGGTGCTAGCCAACTAGGACAGGAGAATTTATAGCTATATCAAAATATCAATTAAGTCCTCAATGTCTCACATGCATGAGAGGGTGCCTATCTTGTGTCTCTTTCACGGATTTAGTAAATCGATCCTCATCTCCATTCCTTTTATTTTTGGTGGTAGATGGTTTAAGTAGAATGCTAGGGAGAGGAACAATTAAAGGATCCACTATGGGGAATAATAGAGTTGAGGTGTCCCACCTCCAATTTGCAGATGACACAATTCTATTCCCGTCTCATAATAATAAATCAATCTCTAATGCACTTACTTTGGTTAGGGTGCTTGAACATATGTCTGGACTTCGCATTAACTTGGCAAAATGTGGACTAGTAGGTACTAATATGTTCAATAGCATAGCAAACGATCTAGTGGAGGATATAGGTTGTATGACCCTAGAGCATGGACCATTACGTATCTTTTTTAAAAAAAATAAAAGTGTAAAGTATATTGAAGTGACGGTGCCAATGGGGCGCCACCCATATGCAAAAGGTTTACATGCCAATAAGCATGTATACAGTGTAGCAAAGGTCATCTAAACTACCAAGATTGTGCCCTAATACAATAGAGTCAAAAAAGTGAAACCATCTATCTTTTATAGAGGCAAAACCAACTTTATTTCCCTCAAAAGCTCAATTGTTTCTTTTTTTCCAAATAACTCATAAAATAGTTAAGGGAATTAGTCTGAAATTTTTATTTCCGCTGCAAAGCCCTTCCCAAGCAAGTAGTTCACATTTAACAGACCCAGTCATGACCCAAGAGATTCCCAAGAGACCAAGAATCATAGACCAGAGCTTGTAAGAGACAAGACATCAAAAAAGCAAATGGTTACAGGATTCTCAGCAGCTTTTACAGAGGAAATATCTGTTACCGGTGATTAGTCCTTTTCTCATAAGATTGTCTATTGTTAGAATGCGTTCTTTCGCAGTTTCCCAAGCATAAAAGGAGATCCGGGGGGAACACCAGCTTTCCAGATGCTTTTATAAAGAAAACCATTCTGCTTACCTGTTCCGTAACCCTCTAGAAAGTAGTAGTAGGATTTAACAGTGAAGATACACTTTTTTTCAAGTTCCGGCTTAACCTGTTATCAAAGTTGCAGAGCTGAGTATCGGCCAAGGTGTGCAGCAGGCTCACAGACTATCCTCTTCCTAATCCTGTAAATTTCTGTTAACCACTTCGTTCCAAGCCAAGTGACTAGCAACACCAATATCCACTTCAATCAACATATTTTTGTCCCTATAAATAGCAAAATAAGGGGGAATCTAGATTGGAAAGTTTCAGAGCCACACCAGGTGTCCTTCCAGAATCTCACCTTGTTGCCTTTTCCAATAACTCATTTAGAGCAGCTGAGGACAGACTTGTGGGTTTGCATAATACTCTTCCAGAGGCTTGTGCCGAAAGTGCTTTTCTCAATGTAGGAGTGATTATGAATATTCTCCTCAAACCATTTGCATTCAGTGAAATATTTCCAGAGACTTGTTAATGCCACAGAGAGATCTTATATCCAGTCCACCTTCAACAACAGGCTTTTTTACTTCATCCCATCTAACAGGTGAAATTTCCTTTGGTTGTCAACATCTCCTCACAGGAAATTACATTGGATGGCTTCAAGTTTTTTGGCGACTTTATTCGGTATAGCACCAATAAATAGTAGATTGGAAGATTTGAAAGTGTACTCTTGATAAGTGTCAACCTACCACCTTTAGATAAGAAATTTCTCTTCTCGCTAGCCGATCTTTTTTTGGAACACATCAATGATCGGTTCCCAACTTCTACCACATTTATGTTTAGCACCCAACGGAATGTCTAAGTATTTAATAGGTAGTTGAGAGACCTTGCAACCCAAAACCTCCTGGAGAGCATGATCAGAAATGCTCACACGCAACTCAACAAGTTCAGACTTGTTCATGTTAATTTTGAGACCAGAAACCGCTTGAAAACAGAGTAAAATGCATCTCAAATTGAGTAGTGAGCTTGCATTTGGTTGGCAAAAAATTAAACTGTCATTTGCAAAGAATAAATGAGTTATTTCAATCTGTTTGCTATTCTTTCCCACAATAATACCCTTCAATAACTGAAGTTCGTTGTCTTTCTCAATTAATTTGCTCAAAACTTCTATCACAATGATAAACAAGGGGGATGACAGATCTCCTTGTCTCAAACCTCTTGAAGAATTGAAGAAATAAGAAGGTCCACCACTAACCATAACCGCAAAACTGGTGGAGGAGATACAAGTCTGCATCCAATTTCTCCGTTTTAAACCAAACCGAGTCTTTCTAACATGTAGTCAACAAATTTTAAGTTTACATGATCGAAAGCCTCTTCCATGTCCAGCTTACATAAAACCCCAATATCTATCTTCCATGAACAAAAGCTTGTTCGCTTGAGTACTCTAGATGATCTTTTGACCAGCACTCTGGATTGTAATTTCTATACACAACTGACTAAACCGATGGCCGGAAGTCGCCAACGCTCTTGGCAGCAACTTTCTTCGGAATCAGCGCTAAAAAAGTGGAGTTGAGTGATTTTACGAAAGAGCTATTAGTGTGGAAATTATTGAGAGACGCCAGAACGTCCTCTTTACTATTGTCCAGAAAGATTGCAGGAATTTGAGATTAAAACCCTTAGTGTAACACCCAACTATTTCTTTTCATTTTTATTATTATTATATGATTTTATTTTATTTTATTTTAACTTATTTTATATAAATATAATTTAGTATTAATAGAATTTAATTTAACTTACTTTATTTTAATGGAAATAATAATAATAATAATAAAAATGAGTAAAAATTATTTAGAGATTTAATTGAAAATAATTTTGAAAAAAATGGGTGAAAATTTGGGTTATGGGGGTATTTTTGAAAGAAAAATCGGAAACCAGAGGTTAAAACGCAATTTAAAAAAGTTGTTCCACGTCAGCTGCCCGATCAGCAGCCCCGGCCAACCAGGACGCGCCAGGTGGCAGAGACGCTGACACGGGAGGCCACGAGGGAGGGAGCCACGTGGGTGATTCACATGCGCGCGATCGAACGGCTGAGATCCGTTCCTGCGCACACGGACGGCCCAGATCAAAAACGTGCACAGTCGGCCCAGATTGCATTGCGCACGGACGGCTCAGATTGAATCGCGCACAGACGACCTAAATTGAATCGCGATGAATGGCCCAGATTCATTCCCTATTTAATCGCGATCGGACGGTCTAGATTAAAAGCGATGGACGACTCAGATCAAAAGCGGATGGGTATAAATAACCTCATCCGCACCCAAACTCTAACCTTAGCCGCCAGAGCCTCTCACCGGAGAAGACAGCCCAGCCGCCGGGGAGCCGACTGCCGCCACCCACAGCCGTACCGGAGCAATTTTCGGCCGCCAAATGAAGTAAAAATTCTACCCTTTGCTCAGAATTTGATTCTAAACCCACCTATGGACAAATTGGAGAGAAAGCACCGGCCAATTGGCCGAAAAACGCCGCCGAAGCTCGGCGGCGCCGCCGCAGGGTGTTTCGGTTTTCGCCTCCGATGAGACCCTTCCCGATTCCCGTTCGGTGTGATTTTTCCACCGTTGTGATCACCGTTTCTTCCTCTACAGGTTGACCGGAGCAAAATGCCCAACCGCAACGTGAGCCGGAGGAGCCGCCACACCAGAGAGCCCCACCGCCGGTAAGTTCTGATTTTCTGTGTTTTTTTGGGCCCACCGAGGGCCCTAAGTGTGTTTTCTCACAGGAACCGATACAAGTTTAGCTGAATTTGGCCGAAGACGGCCGAAAACAGCCAACCCGAGGCGGATCGCCGCTGCTCGCAACGTCGTCGCCGGAGCACGGCGGAGCCGCCGTGCTGGAATTCCGAAATTGGCCGAGTAGGCTCTGGGTCTGATTTTTGGGTTATTTGGGACATATGTAGGTACCGTAAGCGCGTTTCAGTTCTCGAGAAAAATTCAGGGAACCCAGGGACCGCCCGTAGGCACAGTGAAAATCTAGTTTTCCGTGTCAAATCAAGTAAGAACCCCTCACCCTATTTCCTATCATGGAATTGAAGTTTGAATAAATGATAATATTGTATTTTGTACAAATTAAATAGATAAGCATAATTAATTACGGTTGCTAATGGAGCCCGAATCGGACACATTTCTCTATCGATTCCTGTTTGATTTATGTTACAGTTTAAATGCATTATGGTATCTGTTTTATTTATTCTATGGTTTTAAATGCATGTGTCATTGCTTACTTCCCTACTGTTTGATTTTGAGAATCTAATATATGCTTGATTTGTTAGATGCACGTTACTTATTTATATATTTATGTTTGTGTTGGTAACAGAGACTAAAGACAAATAGGAATGGGATGTGATTTGATAAATGGATAAGATGACAGTCTCACTAGATATCCTGAGAGATGGTGGACGAACCGTATTCATAGGGAATCCTACCGCGAACATTGTCTCATACCGGACGGGGTATGGTGACTTGGTCATTTGGCGCTCATACCGAACGGGGTATTGAGATTTATTGTTTTGGCACTCATACCGGACGGGGTATGAGGACGGCCCTGAAATTAAGATTGTTAAGGAGAATAGT